TAATACAGAGCTGGCCTGTCTACAGGCCTGACGAGCTGCTCTACAGAATCAGCCCAGATCGCCACAATTTCCCTGATAGAGTAGATACCTGGGCTCTCTTTCTCACTGCAGTTTGAACTTGGAGGACTAGAGGAACCCACACCGGCAGTCTCATGTCCTTGAGCATATATTTCCAGGGAATAACAGGCTTCATGATCACTTCTAAAGGGATCCCTTAGAGATTTGTCTATGACACACCTCCTTTCCACTAATAATGCTCAAGTGGATATATATATAACTGGTCCCTCCATCTGAACTGGATAATAATATCCAGTTATGAGATAAAGATAGAAGCCTAAAAATAGTCAAATCCACATAGCTATTTGCCTAATTAGCGTCTCTTCTTCAGTGTCAGGAATCCTTATCAAGCACAGTCATTTCTTAGTACTTACTGGTGGGGGATTCCATGGCACTCCCTCCCCCCTTGTGGACTTAAAATCCCCAGATGCCCAAGTTCTTCAGCTCAAATGACAGGGTAATATGAAGCCTTTGAATATAACCTATATATGTATTTCCAAACACTTTAAATCACAGCAAGACTTATACCTAAAACAATATGCTTCTATACAGCATTAAAACTAATGATAAGAATTCTACATAGATACCCTGAATGCATTCTTATAACATTTGCGTGAGAACCTGCATGTTGTGTGGGGTGGTTTATGCATGCTACTCTGTGTGTAGAATCAGGAAAATCTCGTGCTGGTGTTTACCTTCCACCTTCTTGGGGACAGAGCCTCATCTCTGTATACCGCACTGGCCTATGAGCTCCAAGGGATTCCATTGTTTCTACCTCCTGTCTCACCATAGGAACATTGGGATGTGAGATGCTGTGCCAACACTACACATAGCCTGGAGATCCAAACTCATGTCCCTGCTTGTGTGGCATGCACTCTACCCACTGAGACATCCCTCAAGATGCATTCTTAAAAAAATATATTTTTGAATATATTTTAAATATATATATATTTAAAACATATATTCAGTAGGTATGCAGATGAGATGGAATACCAATGGACAGGATTTTCTAGACTAACTGTCTCAATCTTAGCTGGTAATAGGAGTCTCTAGTAAAATACTTTAGCTTGGGTATAAAAGTGCACATTCAGGGACTCTGATGTGGTCCTGGGTGCAAGTGTTACAGCTCTGGAGGGAAATGAACCCTGACTGTCAGAAGTCAGGCTGTACCTGCATCTGTGAAGGGAAGGTGTCCTGGATACCTACAGCTGTGAGGAGAAAGGTATCTTGACTTGTTGGGAAGTTAGGCTATACCTGAAGCTGGGGTCCGCTGTGGGATGGTCTTCCCACAGGATGTGGCAATTCTGCTCCTCTCCGAGAGAGAGCCATTACAGCTGAGCTCTGCTCTGCTTCCTTAAGGGGGTTTCCCAGGAGAGAAATCCATTGCTTCTCAGCTCCACTCCACTTGGGAGTTTCCCAGCAGAGATTACCCAAAACTCTTTGAAGAGATTTATTTGGGAGGGAGAAATCCAGGAGTGTGGCTGCCTCTGCCAAAGTGAAGGACAGTTACTAACTGAACAGACACAGAGCTTATATAGTGCTTCTTAGGGGCGGAGTTTTCCTAGGGAGAAGATTTGCAGGGTGAGAATTGGTCAGATTTCAATCCCCTTGAGTTTGGGCAAGCTCAGATTGGCTAGATTTCATGCTCAGGGATTGGCTGGTTTTGTGGTCAGGGATTGGTTGGTTTTCCTGCTCAGGGATTGGTTGGTTTCATGCAGGTGATCAGGGGCAGATTTGGCTCTGGTTCCAGAGCCAAAGTGTGTTTCTTTGGCTCTGGTTTCAGGGCCAGGGTGGGTTTCTTTGGCTAGTCCATTTTACCCTACACTGGGGGGTCTGTAAACTTTTGGATGAGAGCCAAATATACCCGTTTTTAGAAAAATAAATTTTATTGGAACACAGCCCAATGCTTTCACTTGCATATTAGCTGTGGTCCCCTCAGCAGCAGTTGAGGACATGTGACTGGATTCATCAATCCCCAAAGCCCAGAAGTTGTTCCTATCTGATCCTTCACAGCAAAGCTTGACAAGTGCTAGACAGGAGCTTCTCCAGGCTGAGTCAACTTTCCTTAATGAGAAGCGTCCAGAGTCAGGACAAGTCTCCAGACCACTACTAGCCCAGGCTCCATCCCTGAAACCTACATCAAGACCCTGAGCGACAGGCAGGAATAAAAAACAATTTTTTAAAGCACATGCTTAGTTAAGAACCGCTATACTCAAGGACACACGATCTTCTCCAGGCCTCAGAGGTTAGAATTCTCAAAAAAAAAAAAAAAAAAGAATTCTCAGGGGTAGGAGAGAGGCCAGCTTCACCCAGTGCTCTGCATTTGCTGGTAGCTTATAAATTTGTACTTCTAATATGCTCTACCAATAATTAAGTCCCAAACTCGGTGTTTTTAAAATGTATTAATAGGGCAAGGCAGATCAGTTGGTAAAGTGTGTGCTGCGCACCCACGAGGGCCTGACTATGATCCTCAACACCCACGTAAAATTCCAGGCACAGAAGCATGTACTTATAGCCCCAATGCTGGGCAGATGGAGACGAGAGGGTCGGGTCCCAGGGGTCTGCTGGCCAGTCAGTCTAGCCAAATTGGTGACCTCCAGGTTCAGGAAGAGACCTTGTTTCAAAAATAAGGTGAAACGCTACTGAGAAAGATATGCTTTGCCAATCTCTGGCTTGCAGATGCGTGTATATAGATTGGTATAGACATACATCACAAAATCAATAATTAAAATGAATTGATAAGTCAGCAAACTGAGGTGGATCACTGTGTTTGAATTCTCCAGCTTTACTGTGCTAACACTTCCTCTCCACCAGGCTGTGTTCCAAGGTTTCCCTAGCATTTTGTGGCAGATATCTGAACTTCTCTACATGTTCAGTTAACCCTCTTTTCCTGAGGTCACCACAAGCCTCTTTGGAGAGAAGAAGAAATAGAGTAACGAAGAGATTACTATAAACAGACTATAGGTGGGAGATCTAAACATTCTGGGGAGAGAAACCAGAGCTGTGTATTGCCAAGGCTCTAGGTTCCACTCTAGTTCATTTACAAATGTTTAAGAAAACACTGGCTGATTCCCACCATGGGCATCATGCCACAGACCCTCCGCACTAAGAGGATTACAAGCCAAGCCAGGAATACCCACCCTCCTCCAGCCCTCCTGACAGGCACACGGAGACCTGGCCGGTCAGAGGCATGGGTAGAGCAGCAGGCAGGGGTAAGGCAGGGAGGCAGATGAAGCCAAGTGTAACTGACTTCGAGGGAGCCCCAGTGCCGCCCAGCAGTCCTGGGACTGCTCACACCCCTGGATGACTCTCACGCCTCCTCCCTCCACACCAAGTCCTCTTCACCTTCCTCACTGCCGGCTCTAACATGCGCGCTGCTTATTTCAGAGAGCAAACAGAGCACAGGGCGCTTCCACAAGTCTCCATGGCTACCCCCACCTGCACCTCTCCCCTGCATGCAGACTACATTTGATCAGGAGCCTTTTGGGTTCAATAAAAGGTGGCTTCTCCCTTCTGTGTGTACAGACAGCCCCAAGGTCCTGGAGACAACCCGAGTCTTCTCTTCCTCACATACTCTGTTCCTAATGTAGAACTTGTTAGGATCCTGCCCTCACTCCTGTACATGTGCAGCTCGGGGTCTTGCATCATCAGAAGGCACTGGCGACTACGTATGCACCTTAAAAAGCCGGATGCA